CACCCCGTTGTCAAGAGAACACAGATGCACAGATTAATCACAGGAGTTCATGAACTCCCTTCGCTCAAACGTAATCTGACTTACCACGTCACAGCATACGCCCAACAAATCTGTGCATGCACGGGATCCTGCCGACACTTGAGCATGGGGGTCAGTTTATCAGTCTATCTTGTCCAGACTCGCTTTATCTGACCGAATAAGGTCACTGAGCATGGGGTTCATTTTCTTTCTCTTTCTCTCTCTCTCTCCAGTCCAGTAAACCCTACTTTCGCATGATCTCAAAGTACTTTTGTGTTTGTGGCGATATCTGTACATTGTGATACATAGACTAGGCTAAATGTGTGTGACGTGTGACGGACTACCATTCGCGACCAGGTGTTCTCTAATTCGTAGACCAACTTGGAGTTGAAACGATTTCACTTGAATTTGAAATGACGTAGTAAAATTTTGGTTCCCCAAACAACTCAATGTTGTTACAAGTGAACTCGTTGAAATGAAGGCTTATCTTGTCAGATAACCCATTAAACTAGGTGAACGTTATGACAAGAATTCCTTTTTCAGACAGAGACAAGTGTTAGTCAGAAAGACTACGTTCCAGAGGGTTTCCAGTTGGTATCAAAAACTGAACAATCGCCACACTAAATAACGCATTGTCAGGAATATGCTTAACTGTTTCTCATTTCCTGAGGGGTTCAGTTGGTGACAGTATAATGAATACTTCGCCTATCCAAATACCAATCCAGGTAGATTTTCATAGTGACAAATGAGAATAAAAAAGTATGCATATCCACAGCATACTCAATTTCCGAATCCAGAACAACTGACGATTATTTCAAACGCTATGGAACATGCTACCGGAATCTTCGTACTATACGATCTGTAAATGTTAGAGATGGTTTTGATACCGATACTGCAGAAGAACATCCAAAAGATGGAATCCAATGAATGAAAGTCATCAAAGGAAATAATCATACCCAACCACCGATGGTAGTGTTTGTACTCAGAAAGTAATTTATCAACTGGATAGGTAGCACTTTATGGTTTTGCACAACCTATTCGTACTCATTAGGATACGGGACCGATTCGCAATCTGCCGCTTTCTTCCTGTGACCCTGAACTGGGACATTCTACTCCAAAGTTTAATGCTTCCTTTGATGGGTATAGCCTTCCGGTTACACTTTGATATCGTATTCAAAGATCACCGGCCTGAACTTCTGGACTTATGAACTCAATAACATTGGTGAAAATTGTGTCACACGATAATGGTTGGCAACAATGCATTGTAGTCTTTCAATTTACTGTTGACCTGAAAAGGTTAAACTCCGTTTTACGGAGGGGTGCTGTGTTCAGTTGAAGCAACTGGTGTTGATTAGGATAAATGGAGTGACGATCCGGTAAAAGGCAAACAATTCATGCACCGTTGACAAAAACCTAAACCCATCTTTCTGTCGCATCTACTTATCCGTCTGTCGCACTCTTAGAGTCGACATTCTTCGAGCGTTTTACCTTGTGTTAGTTCCTTCCCCCTGAGAAAGACCTCAATTAACCCACTTTCGTTTACAATACCAACTGTTCTGTCTTCCTTTCAATGTTTATAATTTGTTTCATTTATCCAACCTTAAGGTGCTCGAATTATCTCTCATGTCAGATTTACAGAAACCACACTTCATGGCCCAAACCAGTCAAACACGATTACTCCGCGTCTGTGATAGATCCGTTCAGCGTGATTCCGTGAATAGTTATGATGAACTTCTCGATCACTGTTCCGTCGTCAATAAATTGAGAGACAACTAGCATTTTGTTCTTTATAGGGTTTTTTGCCTCAGACACCACTCTATCTATGAAATCAGTTCTAGCAGTTCTGAGTTTAAATCACAAATCGCGAGCTAAATCGTTTCGAATCTGGCATGTACGGCTCGATAGAACACGACCGAGTTACTTATTTAACAGCAATCACATTTGTGTCATCGCTGGTTCATAATAGTTTTCATGTTTCTCTAATACACGTATATTCAGTTTTCAAAAAGAGTTTGTCAGTCGAATATTGGCTAACAGAGTTGGCAGGCTTGAACATGCGATCTGTGAAGTAATGCACAGATAATAATGGTTTAAAGTCATCTATGTTGATCCACATCATCCGGTGAAAGAATTCACTTCAGTGATAAGATGCTCTATTCCCCAAAGTTAGTAACATAAAACCCAGAAGAACGCGAACTAAGACGAGGAGGGACTGTGTGGATTTCGCAGTATACTCACGTAACACGTATTCTATCTTCAAAAAATGACAAGTTACAAAACTCTGATGTAAGGCTCAGTCTCGAAGGTAAACGCCTAGAGGGCTGGTCGAACGGCAAACTCAGTGAGGTTCGGAATACATAAACATGCCTAATTAATTCACTAACTGGATGAAAGAATTCGGGCGATGAGTTATTGCACAGCATTATTGAACTTCAAAAGAAAGCTTCACCCCCCCATCACAATTATATTTGGGTTATATGTTCGGTTAGCAAGCGGATAATGCGTAAATGACAACCAGGTTGTTGACTTTCAATCGACGTGAAAATATAATAATAATATAATAATGGTGAACGATTCACAAAAGAAAGTGAACGCTTTCTATCTGTTACCGACTAATCGATTTTTCTTTACAACGTATAACCTTGGAGAATTTTATTTGACTATTTTTAACCACATAAGCAAAAGTGCATGCTCTTTTTGATTCGGTTAAATGACTACTTTCACCTTTGCATTCGCGTTTTCGTTTTCGGGCTCAGTTGGGTCAAAATT